TTTCTGTCAAATCTAAGACATTCATGCGCTATAAAGAATTGCATTATAACATAACCCATTTAAGATCTGACTCTTCAGAAATTTTAACGTATTATATATGTGCTTTCATTCTCCACTACATATTACAAATAATTCTTAAGGAAAGTTATTTTTTGTCCTTCCTGAAAATCTTTTATAGTTTGGAAAACATTTTTCATACAAGCTATACTGTATAAAAATGTAATCACAGAATTTAGTGTTTGTTTTACCAGAGCAATTTTAATCTTGTATTTAGTTAAGTGAGCTTTTTTTTTTTTAAAGTTACTTTTCCCCCCCTTCTGATTTTCTTATTGTAAAGCTGAATTAAAAAATAAAATGACCAGAACCTCTTTGAAGACTGCTGTACCAACCAGATGGTTTCATGCGCCTGAGATGAGTTTTGGTGTGAGATGTCCTGAAAACTCAGGTTTGAACAAAGCTTATGCCAGAAGGGAAGTTTCACTGTGACCTGAAGCCATTGTGCCTGTAGCTTAAAGTTCCCAGAGTGATTGACTTCTTACCATAAAATGATAGAAATGGTTATACAGGAAGGATACTCCAGCTTGAAGGTCACTTGAAAAAAAAAAAAAAAAAACCTCCTGAAGCAGCATGTCTTCTGACAGGACGAAGCACCCTGGAGTGCCTCTTCCCCCAGTTCATACCCACGTTACATGTAGGTGTCTTGCTTTTAGAGATGGTACAGACATTCTTAAAGGTACTTAACTGTTAACTTCCCACTGACATAAATGTAGGCATATGCCATCCTTGTTATTTATTCATGTTTCAATAAATCAATCCCTTAATATTTTGTATTTTATCTTGAACTTCCTTAATGTTTAGTAGATGCGGTAGATTGGATGCTTTGGCTGTACAGAAGAGCCTGCTGGCTACATTATGAAGAAGCAGTCTCAATCTTAAAGTTGTAATACAAAACAAAATCACTATTAGAACCACTTACCTGCAACTCATAACTGAGCCTCACCTGCTAGGGACATCTCAAACTCACTGCCATTTGAACAGTTTTCTAGTTAGCTGGTACTTCATCTTAAAGGTAAGGACAAATTACTTATTTTTATAATTTGCCCAGATACAAAGATACACAGCATTAACTTGGAGGAAGTGGCATAAGCAGATCATAGGTGTGCAGAACTAGGATATGTTGTTCTAGCTGGTGCTCTCCTCAAGAGGGCTGGCAGTCAAAACAGTTCTGCATGTTCTGGGAACATCTAGACTCAGCTCAAAGTTGCACTTCTGAAGCAAGTGTCCGGCTAGTTTCCTGCAGTGAATCAAACTTCATCCAAAAAGCATAGGTGTGCTCTGGATGAAACCAGATGGAAGACATTCCACCTACTAATAGGTGTTCAGTTAGGGGAACCAGAACTGAGTCGGGGGGGGGCAGGGGGAACAGCTGTTCTATCCTCAGGGCCCTTTGTCACTCCTCCTCTGGTACTGCAGCAGTACAGTAAGCACTGGTGGAGATGGAGTCACTGTCTGACTCTCTAGTTACCAGAGAGCAGCAGACTCCCAGCAGGCGTTACAGACTCTTTGCTGACTCTTTGCTCTCCTGTCACTACATACGCAAATGTAGCTTGTCATAAGGATTGCAGGAAGGTGTTAGCAAGTTATGAACTGAAGGGCATGCAGACCTGTATTAGGTGGTTCCCTATGCTGCCTTCCCCAGGGTAGGGGGAAACAGTGTTTCTTTGTGTAAAAATCCACCTCCCACCCCCACACAGGGTCAAAAGTGTAAGACAGTTTAAAGACAATAAAATACAGAAGCAACCAACAGCAGGACTGGAGTACTTTATTTTATTTTATATATTTACACAAAAGTGTGCAAAGTAAGGTTTTTTTGAGGCTGTAGTAGAGAGCAAGAAGAATACAATTTACTGTAAGAGTAACCATAGGTAAAACTTGATCATGCTGAAACTGGAACCTACTAGCTCAAGAACACACAGCAGCATTTCAGTATATTGGCCTCTGAATGTGGTGCAGTGTATAGGTGAGCCCAAAAGCAAGTTAGTTGTAGTAATAGTTGTCCACAACTGCTATTTCTGTATGAGCAAGTGTGATCTTTAGCTGGACAGAAGTGTGCTTAAAAACTAATAGCAGATAAACTGTCTCCCCAGGTAACCTGGAAGCTACAGAGTTTATGTAGGTTATGCACATAAAGAAAGTTTAGGCCTTCAAGAAACACCACAGAACAGCTACAGCACTTGCCAAGTGGTATTCCACAGCTTCTAAGGGCCAAAAACTTTTGCTAGCTTACACAAATATTTGTAGTTGATTACTAGTGAGAAGAAACTTTAGAATCTTTCAGCTACTACATTATAGCTTTTTGTACTTTTCTCTGTAGTATTTCAAGTCAAGCAATAAGTAGAGCAAAAACAAAGGGATTAAGAGTTGGCAAGAAATTCCATGTTGAAGAATAAAGCTAGGATTCACCTTTAACAAAAAAAAAACCCCAACAAACAAAACCATGCCACACCTCCCAACAATCACCTTGTTAAGTTCAACTCTGTTTGCTACGATCAGGATAAGTGCAAGGTATTGTAGAGAACAGGGTATCGCAAGCCTTCAGTGTTAACTGTGAAGAATTTAAGAGTTCTGGACAGCAGTGTAGCAATAACTGTTTAGATTTAAACATTCTGATTTGTCAATTGACCTATTTATTGTTCTACAGAATTTATGTTTTTGTATTGCATTATAAAACTACAGTAGAAGAACCATAGTTTTCTTGTAGAATAATAAACTTAAGAAACTTATAAGAAAATAGGAAACATGATTCTTTATGCCTAATATTTTGGTGTACTATCATCTCCAGCTCTATATACACTAGCATTAGATTACCTAATAGTCTTTTAAGCAGTCCTGTAGTTCATCATGATTGGTCAAGAAAGTTTAGATAGAAGCTTACTTGACCATTGCAGCTGATTAAGAATTATTTCAAGGGGTTAGAGGTTATCTTTATGATGTCATACCACTATAACTAATTTTTTCTGCCTTGAAGGGAATGTATTATACTGCAAAGTGGGAACAAGTTGTAATCATTTGTAAAGTACTGAAGACAAAGAGCTGTTATGGTGGTCAGTTTATATTATTTCCTAACACATTTCTAGATTATTTTCCTCAGCATGAAACTGAAATTCATTCTTGTAAGACTAGTTTTCTTAAGCCAGATTACTAGAAAAGGAAAAATAGATCATATAAAATACCAGTGATTACTTAAATTAAGGTATTCCTCCTCCTCATTTTATATATTCTAACTATACACAGGAAAAATGCTAAAGAACTACTCATCATATTCAGAGAATGTTGTCTATGGATACTGTTTCAGTAGTGTATTCCATTTGATTGCTTGCACCTTTTTCATGTAACAATTTCAATAAGATCCAACAATTTAGAAGTTTTCTGGAACTGAAGTCCTTAGCAAAGGTAGGGAGCATCATGACATTTTACAGCTTGCCAAGATTCTATTTCCCTGTGTTTGAATTATCACACCTACAGCTAGGATCTGTCACTCTGCACTGTTAAGAATTAGCTCTCTTCTAGTCCTTCCAGGAAAACTTCCTTTTTCTCCACCATTCCCATTCCTTTCCCAGCTACCTGAGGGGACGGACAGCAAGCAGCCCAGCAGACACTGTTTGCTCAGAATTCCATCAATAAATCTTGTCATCCGGGAAGCAGGGCAACGAAGGGACAACTCACTCCCCCTGCAAGAAGGGTCAGCTCGTGAGACTCAAAAGCCACCTGGCAAAAATCACTAGCAAAATGCTTGGCTTCCAGCACGTGGCCACTGGCTGGCACCACCATCTCACTCAAGTGACCTTTATCTAGCAAGTACAAAGCTGAAAACTAAACATCTTCAGTAAGTCAGCTGAGAAAGATACCTATGCAAGAAAAATATTGGTAATTACCCAGAAATAAACCTCTAAAACAGCAGATGCAAGTTTTGTGTTGCATTTGAAAATAGATATAAATATACGTCCCCCTAATTAGGATTTATAATACTGAATATACATTTTAACTTAAGTTCCAGTAAAATTTAAGATCTGGTTGTGAGTTTTCAGAACAGTCTGTTAATTCGCAATGCATTATATTCTTTAATATATAGCAGCTTTGGTATGAACAATACTTCACTTGTTAGCTAATGCTTGGGTGATTTTTTTTGTTTTCTGTCATCCGAGTGAGCACAAACACAGATGCTCAGCATTTTCTATTTAAAACAAGTAATTGCTAAAATATATGCCGTTCAGTCCATCTTCCTACAGTGCCAGTGGTTACAATGCAACAATTTAAACAGACTTGCCCGAAGTATCCTTTCCCTTCCCCATTTGCCTAGGAAGGATGGTAACCAGTGGAACTACTGTCAATCTCACATGCCACAATCAGCTGAGTCAGCTTTGAACAACACTGTCTCTTTTAACCCCTCTTGGGATAAGATAAACAGAAGTAAGAAATTTCAATGCTGCATTAAGATTTCAGTTTTCCACCTCGAATAAAACCCATGAGTCTTGCGCAGTGGATATGTATTCAAACTGATCAGAAAGGACTACTCCCAAACAAGACTGCTATTACACTGAACCACCAACAGGTAAGT